GTGAGTGTGTGTCTGTTGTTGCTGTGCTGGAGATGAGGGAGAAAGATATGGAGGAAGAGGGTGGGAGAACGACTGAGATGAGAAGTGCTACAGTGTAAAAGTGGGAGAGAGGGAAGGAGGAATGAAAGGTTTTGAAGTGTGGGAGAAATAGGTGAAAGGGATGAAGCGATATGGCCGGAGTAGGGGTGGTGGTGTGATGAGAAGGAAAGGGGCGCAGAGGAGGATAGTGGATGGCGAGAGATAGAGAGAGCAAGAGAGAGAGAGAGAGAGAAAAGAAGAAGAAAAAGAAGAAGGAGGAGGAGGAGAAGAAGGAGAAAAAGAAGGAGAAGAAGAAGAAGAAGAAGAAAAAGAAGAAGGAGAGAGTTTGATGTAGAGACACCAACAATGATGATATGATGATGAAGATGATGATGATAATGATAATGATGATGATGATGAAAATGATGATGATAATGATATCTGAAGTAGTAGAACAGGCAAACCTTCACGTATATTTTATTACATGTTCTTTATTACAATGATGATAAAGTTGGTGATGATAACGATGATGATGAAGATGATGATTATGATAATGATGAATATGATGATGATGAAAATAATGATGATAATGATATCTGAGGTAGTAAATCATACAAACCTTAGAGTAATTTTATTACATGTTCTTCTTTCTGTCTGTCTATAGTCTGTAATATACATCCTATAATACAGCGAAGGCATTTACCTACCATCAAGCTCAGGCCCACTGCTACAGACAAACTTTATGGGGTAAAGGGGAGCCTGGGTCGCTGCGCATATGCTCGAGCTGATTTCTCTCAGTGAAACCTTCTGTTCTGCCACCAAAGCGCTTTGTAAAATGGGGAAACAGGAGAAACGCCAAACTGTCTGGGAAATAACATATCAGTCAACAAAGACGTCTTCCCCACAAACACACACAACTACTTGTGTGTTTACACACCTTTGTGAGGCGATAGAACGCTACATTTGAGTGTAGATCCTGTGTTTTCTTTAGCAGTCCGCCGTTTCACAACCACCGTCTCCCCGCCCGCTGTAAGTCATGTGATATATCATCAGGATAGATAACTGTGTTTTTTCAGCACCCACAGAAGTTGTCTGTTCTCAGACTTAGTTATTCTTGTCTGTGAGTAGTTTTTTTTTTTGTCGAGCGTTTACCGTCGACATTACTCTTCATTGTTGTTTTAATGATTGTTTTCTCTCGAATTAATTCTAAAAGAAATGAAGCTACAAAGAAACAGACGAGCAACCGACCAGGTTGATAACAGCGATTGCAAGGCGGGTAAACAGTTTAAGAACAGCAATTATAATAATATTCAGAAGAGACCGCTGAAGTGGATCTCGGATGTTGCGACTTTCTGTTCTGAAGAACATTTTGTTTATCACAGCAGCAGACAAGGGACAGTGGGGATTACTTGTGAATGTCTTGTGTGTCAAAAGCGACATGAAGAGGGTACAAGCACATGGGTATAATACAGCCACATGGAGAGGATATAGTCACATGGAGAGGGTAAAGTCACATGGAGAGGGTATAGCAAAATAGAGAGGATACAGCCACACAGAGATACAGTGACATGGAGAGGATATAGTCACATGGAGACGATATAGTCACATGGAGAGGATATAGTCACATGGAGAGGATATAGTCACATGGAGAGGATATAGTCACATGGAGAGGATATAGTCACATGGAGAGGATATAGTCACATGGAGAGGCTACAGCGACATGGAGAAGAGACAATGACATGGAGATGTTACAGACAGATATTACTTGAAAAGAAGAAGAAGAAGAAGAAGAAGAAGAAGAAGAAGAAGAAGAAGAAGAAGAAGAAGAAGAAGAAGAAGAAGAAGAAGAAGAAGAAGAAGAAGAAGAAGAAGAAGAAGAAGAAAAAGAAGAGAAAGAAGAAGAAGAAGAAGAAGAAGAAGAAGAAGAAGAAAAAGAAGAAGAAGAAGAAGAAGAAGAAGAAGAAGAGGAAGAGGAAGAAGAGGAAGAAGAGGAAGAAGAAAAAGAAGAAGAAGAAGAAGAAGAAGAAGAAGAAGAAGAAGAAGAAGAAGAAGAAGAAGAAGAAGAAGAAGAAGAAGAAGAAGAAGAAGAAGAAGAAGAAAGAGAACAAGAAGAGAAAAAAGAAGAAAGTGTGCTGCTGCTTATGATGATAATATTATAATGATAAAGAAGAAGAAGAACGGTGGAACACAGTAAGTACGAGCTTCACACCAGTACAAGTCAAACAAAATAACGATGTTAGTATTTTCAGCAATCTTTTATAGATGATAATGATGATAATGACAACGACAATGATGCAGATGAGAGACGGTGACAGTAGTGTTTGAGAGAAGTTTGCCTTGTATCTCAGTCTTCTTCAGATTACTTTATTTATATTGGCTGGATAAGGAATTGTAACGATTCGTCTGTGAAACCACATCACTGAGACATCAAGACATGTTTGGAAGCTTGTTTGTTAGTTGCCTGATGTTCACAGATTTATATTTAGCCCCTTGTTTATCTTCTTATTCTTCTTTTCTCTTCTCGTGAATTGCGCCAGGACAGGAAGCGATCTCTGGCACTGTTCGCTTCCTATATAGCATTTTTCAATATCTCTGATTTTTTCCGCGGTACGGATCTGCGTGGTCGACCTCTGGCCCTGTTACCCTTGTATCTGCAAAATATTACTCACTGTGGGCCCATGTCTGTTGCCAGCCTTGTCACATGGCCAAACGATTTGATCTGCTGTCTACCGATAAAGTTTAGTATTGGTTCTGTACCGACTCTCCTCCTGATATGAAGTTCCTACGTCGATTTTTCCTCGTTACACCTAGCATTATACGTAAATATTTCCTTGTTGTTTATAACGTGAAATAAAAAAAATTTGGGGTGGTTTTTTGGGTGGGGAAGGGGGTAGGGCGGGAGGGGGGGGGCGGGGGGGGGGGGGGGGGGTTCTGTAAAACCATCGGTGTCTGTGGGCTGGCCTTTGCATACGTGATTTGGCGGGAGACTGCCTAGCGTTGCTTTCGATGCCCAGCGTTGCTTTCGACAGAGGTATCGAGAACCGACCGTAGAGTGCAATGGCAATCTACTGAACGTAGAAGTGCTTAGCTGTGTCGTCTCGAGGCATGGTGTCCGCCTCGAGTGCTGGAGGTTCCGGGTTCAATCCCCGATAAGGGATGGGATTTTTGCACGTGCTCTTAGACTTCTAGTAATTCCCTCTGAGCTCTGTGTAGTGAGGTCAGACGCCAGTGTGCATTGTTAAGCACGTACAAAATTTGGCAATTGAAATAAGTAGCCTAACGGCGCTGCCCGTGCAAAATTTGGAGTTACAAATCTACCCAAAGTAGATCCTCGCCAGTGCTACAGAGCCTGTGCACTGTGCTGAGCTTCTTCGTATTTAGACTCAGAGTTAGAAGAAGAATGAAGCACTTACATGTTACTACCCGTGTGCCATGTTGTTGATCCGTGGTTCTAAACTTCAAACCTGTAAAGGAAACGCAACTAACTTCTTCTTTTTAAACTGTAACATCTGACCTTATTTAGAAGTCAAAAGTATGGACTAAACTACATATTGACGCCACCAATACCATCATAATCTTCTTAATCATCAAAGTCAACGTCTTCATCTTGATTGTCTTTATTGTTCTTAGTTAGTTACGTATCCTTTACAGGACGTTGCAGAACTAACCCCAGCATGTTTTGGCTGTGTTTTTTTTTTCTTTTCCGTAAGGTAAATTTACGTTTCGTAATTTATTGTTGTTAGTGAACACTCAGCTCTCGCAACCACTGTCGAAACCATCGCCAGACGGTCTGCTGCCAAATCGCCTGCAGCTGAGATCGAATCCGGCATCCCGGTATAACGAAGCGCGTTCACAAATTCAAATCCACAGATAGATGGTGATTAGCATCGTTGAAATTGTCCTGTCGTCTCCAGGATCATCTACTACAGTGTTTTCCAAAGCGGGTGCTGCCGCCTCTTAAGGGAGAAGGGGCGGGGGTGGGGGCGCTAAGATGGTCAGGAGGGGATGGATGCGGTAACAGCCTCGTATGCAGCTAGAGGGAGGTATTACATGAACAAAATGAACAAAAAATCCAGCGTTAGAGAGAGAGAGAGAGAGAGAGAGAGAGAGAGAGAGAGAGAGAGAGAGAGAGAGAGAGAATAGAAAACGGAAGAGACAGACAGAGAGGGAAAGAAAGAGCGCGAGAGTGTACAAGAGAGAGAGAGAGAGAGAGAGAAGAGAAAACGGAAGAGAGAGACAGAGAGGGAAAGAAAGAGCGCGAGAGTGTACGAGAGAGAGAGAGAGAGAGGGAGAGAGAGAGAGCGATAGCGAAAGTGTAAGAGAGAAAGAGAGTGAGAGAGATAACGAGAAAGAGAGAAAGAGAAAGGGAGAGCGAGAGAGAGAGAGAAAGAGAGAGAGCGCAAGTGAGCAAGAGAGAGAGAGCGAGCGAGATAGCAAGAGAGATTGAGAGAGAGCGGGAGAAATATAGAGCAAGATATAGAAAAAAAAATAGAGAGAAAGAGAGCGCGAGGGAGAAAGAGAGAGCGAGCGAGAGAGAGAGAGCGAGGGAGTAAGAAAGTGAGAGAGAGCGAGAGAAAGCGAGGCAGAGAAACAGAGAGAGAGAGAGATAGAGAGAAAAAGAGAGAGAGAGAGAGAACGCGCGCAGGAGAAATAGAGAGTGAGAACGAACGAACGAACGAACAAACTTTTTTTTAAAGGATCTTACATACTGCCCTTCGAGGTCTCCCTCCATTCTTACATCATTTCATTCACACATCAAATAATAAAACATTATCAAAAGCATCAAAATATTCAGCACAAGCACTGAAATGTCTACATTTCTAACCACAACAAACCGTAGTGGTTGTTATAAATCTATGGAAAAAAGCGCTATTTCGAAAATATTTTTCTTTTTGTCCTCTATGGGAGCATGTAATCTGTGCTCAAATAATATTCAGTTTTCTATTGTATCTATAGGGACTAGTGGTATTTTTGATCTGTGA